GTTACTGGGTTAATCTTTTTCACCTTTCCTTGGTTGGTAGATGCACCGGGGACCTGATTATAGCACTTAAAACCTGAAAAAGTCAGATTTTCATGATATGTCACCTTTAATAAGTAACAAATGAAGTTTAATTCTTACAGTGAAGATTATGCTGTTTTTTTTAAATTAGATTCTTCATATTTACATTTACATTTAGTCATTTAGCGGACGCTTTTATCCAAAGCGACTTACAAATGAGGACAATAAAAGCAGTCAAAACTAACAAAAGAGCATCATATATATTGCTATCTTTAAATAAATCATTCATTTAAAGTTTTGGTCATATGGCCCACTTATAATCGTGTTAAATAATCGTGATTACAATATTGACCAAAATAATCGAGCCGCCCTAGGTGATTCTCACCTTTTTACTGTTTTTGTACTGATGCTTTCTGTAAAAGCTTTGTTTTTAAGCAGAATCCAGAATCAACAGTAAAATTAAGAAAATGTTTTTTTTTCCTGACCTGAGTTTTGCCATGAAAATAGCCATAGAAGTTGGCATGCCATTAAAAACAGACAGACAAACGAAGATCTTTTGAAAATCTATGCCTTCAATTTTAGTCAATTAAAAGCAATAATTTGTCTATTCAGTCACTTTAGTCCAACTGAAATCATACCAGTTAATTTTTTTTTCAAGTCAGACAAATAGATATAGATAATGTGAATGTAGCTTGACTTTGTCCTGCATGTATACATTTTTAAAGGGATAGTTCACCTAAAAATGACAATTCTGTAGTTGATTACTCACCCTCATGTCTTTCCAAACCCGTAAGACCTTCGTTTATCTTCAGAACACAAATTAAGATATTTTTGATGAAATCCAAGAGCCTATGAATCCTATGACCTATGAAAATCCTATGACCCTGCATAGACAGCAATGCAACTGACACGTTCAAGGCCCAGAAAGGTAGTAAAGACATCATTAAAATAGTCCATAGACATCAGTGAGTCAACCTTAAATTTATGAAGCAACGAGAATACTTTTTGTGCACAAAGAAAACAAAAATAACGACTTTATTTAACAATTGTTGAATGAAGTTTTGTCTGCGCACAAAAAGTATTCTCGTAGCTTCATAAAATTATGGTTCAACCACTGATGTCACATGGACTATTTTAAAGGGTTTGGAACGACATTAGGGTGAATAATTAATGACAGAATTTTCATTTTTGGGTGAACTAACCCTTTACTTGGGTTACAATTGACCTCTGGTATGTGCACATAAAGAAGTGATGTGCAAACTGTATTTATTCCTTCAGATATGTTGTGTATACTTGGGCAGAGAGATGAACACTGAAGCTTGATTACACTAAAAATAGACGTAAACTTACTGTATTTTTACAGTACACATTTTTCTTGAATTTTTATTCGTCATTGTTTAGGACCCAGATGAAGATGAGGAGACACGTCAGTACAGACTGAAGATTGAGGAACAGAAGCGTCTGCGAGCGGAGATCCTCAAGCGCAAAGAGCAACGCAGGCAGATGCAGGCTGGGATGCGCAAAAAAGAACTGATGGAACGGATCAGTGGCCAGAACCCAAACCAGACTCCACAAACTCCGATCCCCACACCCAACCCAACCCCAGCAGCCCAGCCCCCACAGCCGGTCCCTTCACTGATCTCTAACGGAACCCCCCAGAACCCTTCGACAGGTCTTAGTTCCCCTCGTCCAACTGTGAAGGCCCGTCTGCAGAACACTAAACCTCTGGCACAGACTTCAGGTTGGTCTGGGCCGCAGAAGCAACAGAGCGCTGGTCCTGATGCCAGCCAGCAGGGCCAATGGCAACCGCAGCAGAAGAGGACCATGACCCCACAAAACTCTCAAAGACAAGGTGCTGCTCAGATCAGCCCATTAGAAGAGCCATTGGGTCAGCCTCAACCTGGAGGAAAGAGAACAGTGATGCAAAGAGCGAGCAGCACCGAATCTCCACAGGTTCCACAGAAAGTGCGGGTAGTTAAGCGTCTGGGAGAGGTGAGTGAATTTGTTATCGGTTTAAACTCTAAATGTGATCTTTAAAGTTCATATGCCACTTTTTGTCTTTGTCCTTTAGTGGTTTTCTTGAAGTAGTTGTCACCAGAGCTCTTTATAGAATAAATCAAAGAACTCGGAACGCGACAAGGAGGATTTCCAATTACTCTAAAAGTCAAGGTGTCTACTTTTTTGACCACTAAAGTTTTTAGAGCTAAAAACTCTTTAAAGCATAATGCGATTTTCTCTTTTTGAAAGAATCGATACAGAAAGCAGTCTCTATGCTGTGATTTGTGACACCACACTTAATTGACAGAACACTTTTACCTTTCAAGCCCATAAATGGCACTCTTCTGGCGTCATTAAAGTAAGTCGTTTGGCATTTGCGCCTTTACTTTGAGTGACAGCAGATCCAGACATTATAAAGGTTTGTGTCTTCTTTAAATCAAGGTGCTGTTGCATGTGACGACTCGAGAATGGCCTAATGGAAGTTTATGTGGAGTCATTTAGCATTAAGACTGGAGTTTGAGGTGCTTACTTACAAATCTGACAGGACATTTTCTGCATCTCAACCAAGAAAAAAGAAGGACCCAAGGATGATTTATGGGCTCTAAGAGATGATTTGCTGCATTGAATGAGGAGAAAACATCCTCTTCCAGTCTCCTGCCTGAAGCGAAGCTAAATATTTCCTTTGAGTGCCGGATCTCAGTGGATGAAGATAACTGTGTGTCAACTTAGTTAGTAGAAAGCTACACGCAGCTATCTGAAGTGCCGTGGCTCTGACTGACAAAGAGGAAAAAGGGGGAGGGGGTGTCAGACCAAGAGAATCTGATTCTCTAGGTGCTTCTCTTCTCCTGCTGTCAACCTCAGCCGCCTGACAATGTTATCTCTCTTTCTTGTTCTCCTTTCTAACCTGCGCTCGCTCAGTGTTGTTCTCTTCATCTATCTCGTCTCGCCTCTCGCTTTATCCATCCATCAGCTCATCATTGAAGTGTGTTAGAATAGGTGTCAGTCGGGGGACATCTGCAATTAATCTTCCTCGTCTACGTTGATATCAGTGTAATAATACCTGCGAGAGTCTGGGAGAAAGAGAGATGGCGGTTTGGGCGGATTTGTATTTTTCCCAGCTTAGCCGTACAGATAAGAGCAAATTAAATTTTCATCAGGATGAATACAAAGCCTGTGGCGTACAAAAGCAGCATGGGGGATGGAGGTGACTGGGTGGGTGGGGGAGGGGGAGGTGCTTGTCAAGTGTCGTCACCCCGCCCCGGTGTATCTGATAGATGTAATCTGAAGGTGTGGATTTTGTATAGAGTTAGATTAATCCATTAACCCCCTCAGACACAATTGAGATAATGCACATGTGTTTGAAAAAGACAGATGGGGAGAAAAGGATGAGTGTAGCAGGTTTGGCAATTATGTCTTTGTTGTAGACTGAAGGAATGTGTTTACAGGGCACATATTTGATGCTTTACCAGCCTGAATATATGTGTTGCTGTCGGATAAGGAATACATGCTGATGTTTGTTTCTCTTTGTAATGGTCAATACTAAATTTAGGGATACACCTATACAATACTGGTCTGGCATTGCTGTCTGGCCTGATACAGCTAACGTACTCATTCTTGTTAAAATGTCCCTATACCGAAAACAGATACTGTATAGCATCGGTCTTGGGCTACATCCACACGAAGCCAGAGATTTTCCCATCCGATCTTTTTTTTCCTCTCGTCTCAAGAAATATCTGCGTTAGGGCTGCACAATTAATTGAATTTCTAATTGCGATTACAATTATGGATGCCACAATTACGTAATCGTTCGACAATTATGATTTTTGTCATAATCGTGCAGCCCTAATCTGCGTACACATGAAACCACAAAACCGACACAAAATGATGTAGTATACATGCCAGACCAGTAAGTGGCGCTGTAATTCTGCCACAGAGATAAACTAAAAACGGAGAAGACTTGGACTATAAACCTTGCGCGCTGTATACAAACGAACATGGAACAATACATTTATTAATCTGTGTTAATGTTCGTTAATAAAAAGACAATCGTTCAGTGTTTGTTCATGTGGTTGTTGCTGTTACGTGATGAAGCGGTGTCTGTCTAGGGTCAAGACGTGGGGTGATGACATCATCTTGTCACAAAATAAACGGATTGGCTGTCCACTTGGGATATGCCGGTATCAAATTTTCATGTTGCGATTAATTGCTAATGCTTTTATTACGGTTAGTGTTTTGTGTCCACACCAAGAAAAACATTGACAACAGAACAAACAGGGAGCAGAATTTTCAATAAGGATATCTAAGATGTAAATATTAAACAAATTTGCATTTAAACAAATAAAATTCTTATTTCAACACAAGTAAAGCACTGAGCTGATTGAGTGCACAGTGGCACAGACACGCAAGTGCTTTGAGTGCACATCTTCTAAACAGTGTTGGAAAGTTTGTATTTAAATTGTCTTTTTTCAATAGTATATTTGAATAGCATATTTTCTAACAAGGAAAGAGAAAGAAAGAGAGAGCGCTTTTGTATGCGTTGTTTACCGTTTGTTCACTCAGCACACACCGTTTGGATTAAAACTAAACTGTATGATTAAGTAAAATATTAGCTGTTACATATTTTCTCAAATGGTGTCTGTGTAAACCTACTGGCACAGACGGACAAGTTTGTTAAACTGTACTTTTAAATTAACATGCAACATATTCAGATATAAGTTTAGCATGTGCAGGATTATGATACATCAGCCAATGTGTTAAGTGAAATAAAGAGAAACATTTATTAAATTAATTATGTAAAATTATTTGAAACTTATTCAAAAACCCCTTATCTGAGGTAGAAGCCCCCTTGGGTAAACTTGCAGAATATATAAATTACTTTTGATAT